GCCCCAACCTGACCACCTCTTCCAAAATGGTCTAGATCCATCTCTGTCATCATTGTCATCATTCACTAATTTCAAATGGAATAATGACTGAGCCTTGTATTTGGGCAAAGCTAAGCTAAAAAAAAAGCAAATCCTGTGTACAAAAGTGATGAGGCCCTGTGTAAGCATGTAATTATATATCATTTTACTGTACTTTAGCAATGTCACCACAGTTTCTCACAGCTTTGTGTAAAGGTCACGTGTCTATCCTAAAATAAACCAATAAGATAAGTGGTGTTTATCTGAGCAGTTTACTGCCTGCTGCTGCTAAACTGTTTGCTGGGGGAAACTGTATTCATGCATTCACTATAAAATGAATGTTCAGAAATGGGTATGAGTCAACTTTGCATATTATATCCATTTCTGTAACCTCTTTGATAAAACCTAGTAGAGAGGATTTTCTTATTTTACAGTTCATTAAGCTGACATTCACAGAAAATGAGACAAATGTTTGTCTCTTTAGTATGTGGATGTTTGAGGTGCTGACCTGACCAGAGATTAGATGTTCCACTTTGAGCGCCTTTTTATGAAACGGACAAAAATGGTGCACTACACAAATTGTGATTTATTTCAACTGAATCTTTTTTCACAGAAAAGGCATCAAGAATAATCAAAAGCCATCTATGAACACTGTAGGTGGCCTATTATCGGTCATTACACCCACTCCTACTACGGAAGTAACATCTGTCACTAAAAACATAAATATCAAAGGTACTGCAACTACTACTATTTGTATAACATGTAGTTGCAGTAATGCATTTCCAACACTGAGCTTCATTACAGGTGTTGTCGTAAGATGTTGTAGTGTTGTCTAAACTGCTGGCAGTAATCACAAGAATACTCTTGGTCACAGGAAAATTTTTAGATTCAGACTAAGACAAAAAAGCGGTGCCCATTATACATCACAAAGTAGTGCACATAGCAATCTTAATAACTAAACAAATAATCCAATGAGTGGGTTAATTCCCAAACAGGAGATGAAGTGGGCCGCACTTGTCGGGGTGCAGCTCTGTCCATAAACATCCCAGTGAAGCAGAGTATTTTTTGATTAGGCAGTGTGATGTCTCTAAAGTGGACAAAGGTGAGGAGCGGTATCCCATTAATGTCAGTGTGTGTACTAAGGGGAGCTAGAGGGTAACAACTCCCCCACCGCACAGATTTTACTATGGAGGATTCGTCAAAGACAAGTAGCTCCTTATGAAATAATATGCTTCCGACTGCGAGGCCCATGCTTGTCATTTGGCAGAACTGCCTTCTGCATCACAGCACGGCAGGATGCTGACATTCACACCATGGAGTGAGTGTGATCAGCTCTCACCCAGGCAGATGAAAAGTGGTTTATATAGAAACTGAGAGGGAGTATCATATGGTTGCACCTGGTGACAGAATATGGTGAGAAGTGAGCCATATTAAACCCAACAGCTCCCTGTAATGAGACCACTTTCACATCCTTTGGAGTTTAAACATCTTGTTTGCATGAGATAATTTCAGTATTTGGTTTAATCCATCTCTAGGTTACAGTAGAGCAAACCTGTGATACCACATTAAAATTGAAATCAACAGCTGTTTATTGAACAAGCTATCCAAAGGGATCTTAAGAGCACAGTGCTGACTCGGGTCTTCCCATCTACTTTGGCCTTGATGAGAGGACAGGATCATTAAGTCTCTGCTTGTAGCGGCATTTCTCTCTCCTCCAACGATCTTCGTAGTCTCTTTGCTTCAGTTTTGTTCTAGACTGATTGATATAGTTATGTTGAAAAGGACAGATCAGCGATGAGATAAAAGAGCACAGTGCAAACTAACCACAAATAATTCTACTATGTGAGAAGCAGTACTGTGCCACAAAGGTCTTGGATATAGCAATAGAGATACAGGGGGCAGTGTTATCTCACTGATGGCGACACCTGATCCCTCCCTCCTGTCCTACAGCTGCACTTTAGACGGCTGACTGAGCTCACCACTGTTTTATGTCTGCAGTGTTTCTGACTGTCCCTCAGTAACTGATAGGTCACAGTGAATGCAGATCTGTGATGTACAGTAGCATTTCTGTTGTGATGTATTACTAATGAGAGAGAGTTACCACTAATTGGCATATTAACTATGTTCTTCTCAGGCAATGCTTTATTGATTCATCATTTACTTGTTAAAATGTCATATTTAATGTTAAGACAATGTCTAAAAGCAGGAAATCATCATTTTTGAAAAGCTGAAACTATGAGGTGTTTGCAGTTTTTCCTTAAATTTTTGTTGATTGAGATTTTGATTGACTGACGATCTAGAATATAGAAATGTTCATTTTGCTGTACACTCCTACGGTATACACTGAATATGCAAGACATCAGCACACTGAGATGAACTGTCCATTATCAAGGATACATTAATAAATCTAACCAACAACAATCAGGATGTAGTTAAGTAAAAGTAAACAATGAGGATTTTTTTTTAGGCTTCTCAGGAAGATATGGCTTATGTTGTAGTAGGAAGTGCATCATGACAAGAAACATCCGAGCTCTTAACACCTCATTTTATTGTCCCAACATTCAAAAGTACAAATAATTCAAACACAACAGTTTTATGAAAAAGAAAAAACAAACATTTACAGCAAGATTTTTATTTTGTTTCCAGTTTCAGAAATGAGCTAAACTAGCAAGGATAACATGAAGTCATTCATCGCAGTAATTGGATTAATAATAAGAATAAGAATACTAAGAATAATAGCAATAATAATCATAATAATCATCATTGATAATTGTTAAGTAATAACATAAGCAGGAGAGAGTAGAGAGAGCCGCGGTCATGGGGCCCCGTGAACATTTTTTCATCTTTTTTGTCTTTAAAGATTTAGTTTATAGATTTTTTTCAGATAGTAAACAAACACGTCTCAGGAGGAAAATGAAATCTGACGAGAAGAGCCTAGTTCCTCTGTTCACCTTCCCTCCTCCACTACTGGCTGCGTTGTTCCTATTGGCAGGATGCCACTATAAGGCGCTACAGGGGATGGTGTGAGCCATAGGGGTCAGGCATAGAGCGAGGTGACGCAGCCCCATGTTTCAAACACCCTGACATGCACACACAGTCACACACAAACATTTTCAAGAATCACACGTGCTATCCATCGCACACGCACTGAGGGAGACAGACACATATGTTTGTATATATGTGCACTGAACAGACCCAAATGTACAGTCTCACTAACAAAAATACAAACACTTAACATATGCACTGTATATATTGTACATACACACATCTTGGTGTACCCCACGCTAACAAACATGAGGACAAACGCACACACACAATTACATAAAGGAACGTGCATACAAACATGCACACGTGCACGCACACGTGCACACAGGGTCTAGGCGGAACACAGGCACGCGTTGTAAGAGTTCAAAAGTCATACAGTGTAGGAAATTAGTTCACATGTGAGAACAACATTCTACTGGGGTCGTTGCATAATTCAAGCTCCCGACGGCAGCGGGGAGCGTGAAGGGGTCTAGTTGGTGGGTGGATGGTTTGGTTGGTTTGTTGCTGTTATGACATTAGAACACTACATGATTTGATGGCGCAGATAATGACTGGATAATGGTGATGACCCTAGATGACCCGGCTTATCAGATGACTGAGGTGTGAGAGAGGAGGATGGACTTGATGCAAGCATGCGTCTGAGTGTTTAAAATGCTCTTCACACACCTCCCTCATGTTTTCAAGTCTTAACAACAAACAAAAAAAATCCAATTCCTCATAGTTATACTTCTGGAACCATTCCCTTACCTTTCAAAATATATAATATATTTCATATTAGAGTATATAAAATATAGAATCGGTACAATCCCTTTTCATACCTCCAGAGTACTTCTTAAGTATAGCAACAACTGCTGTAAATAACAGTTGGTGTGCAATGGTAACAATTTCTCATTTTTAAAGATTTGTTGGTATGTCATTTGAAAACATGATGAATATTTTTAAAAATAAGTTTTGACTCTTAAGTGATTTTGACTGTTTTAGTCCAGTGCAATGAATGACCCTCAAACAACAATGGGCATATTTGCTCCATTTAAAATTGATCTTTCCCCAGCCTCCAAGAGCTGAATGTTATATAAAATGTTTACTGAAAACTATGCTTTCAGACCCACATTTTTGCATAAGGTTTCATCACAAAGCGGTAGTAAGTGGAGGGAGGGTGTGGACGGAGTGGCTTTTTAGAACTACACAAACTTATCACAGGTTATATTGAATCAGAACGACTGTTTATAACATTCTATTAAGACTAAACTTTATTGAAAAAGATCTAAAGATTTCATTTTAACAAGACAAGAAAAAAGCAATAGCAAATTTAACTATTAACTAGGTTATGCATAGCGAGTAACTGTTTCTAGTAATAAGGGAAGA